ATATAATCTAATATTCAATATTGTTGATTTTAATTAATTAATTGTCATGTTATTTTGAAATCTGCTTTTTATTTGCAATCAGGTTTTTAGCATCCTGCAGGATCTGTTTCTATGCTAATACATACATACATATATATATATATATATATATATATATGTACACATGCATATATCGATGTGTGTGGATATTCAATTGACACAAAGATACCTAGAGGCTATACCCATATTTGAAGGAACTCAATGGTTATTGGTTGCCTAATTTGATGTGGATAGTCATTTTTGCATTTGTGAGAGAATAATTTAAATGGTGCAACTCCACAGTGGTTTCACCTCATCCAATGATGAATGTGTTTTCGAAGTGTGTGATTTATTTAAACGATTGCAGTATTAATTTAGAGTGAGTACTAAATTAAATTGTTTCAATGGAGCTAGACTGCTAGTGGATTAAGGTGAAAGTCACCTACATTAATATAAATTGCAGGATGAGCACCCGCATGAATAGACTATATATATATTGGACTTGTTTCACTGACAGCCCAATAGGTATTTTTCGTCCGTACCACTTAGACGTATAAAGCCCATGTGAAGGACCAGATAGCTAAACCTATCCTAGAAGTAGAGAAGAGAGGGAGAAACATTGCAGATAATTAAGGGCCAGTCTCATATGCATTCTGTTTTTTGTGTTTTTATATTGATCAAGTAGTGTAGTAGTGAAAAGTTAAAAAATAAATAAAAAAATATTTTTGGTAAAAATTCTTTTTTTGGGCAGTGTCAAAATGTTTTGTGAATATTACGTTGTTCATGGTAGTCAATTGAAACACCAATTTAGTATTTTTATATGTTTCCGCATTGTAGCACTGAACAATAATTTAAAAAAAAAAAAAAATACTCGTAATTCATATTTTTTAATTAACTATTATATTTTTTCAAACTTGAAACAATTTTTTACTAATTATGTTTTCATGTTTTTGCTTCCAAAATTTTACAACAAACATAAATTACCAAACATACTTCCGATTACTATTCAAAATACTTTAAAGTAAAATACTTATTTTATTTTGCGTTAAAACATGCATAACGTCTAAAACGAAATGCGTACCAATCAAGCCCTAAACCTATCATAAAGAAGGTTTTTGGCGTTACAAAGTTCATCCCTGTTTTTTTAGTTCATATCCTCTACACTTTTGTCTGGTAGCATTGTTGTTGTGATTATCCAAGGGTTTTATTTCCTTGATGAACAACAATATATACTTTGAAAAAAAATTAAAAAAAAAAAAAAAAAAAGAACAACAATATATACTTGAGCAATGCTGAATGATCCAAACAACTCATTGTTTTACATACTGGACATGCACAAAGCAGGTCACTTTCCAGCAATAAAGTAAATCTGGAATACGAATTTGCATTCACAAGGAACAACCCAATCACGGCGGACAACACAATACTTACATTGTACAAATAATTGCTATTTTCATTGATACCATTTCTATAGTTTGGTCAGACTTTCAGAGCAGCATGGTACGTTATAGTAAATAAATATATATTTTTTCATTTCTTTTCCATGTTTTAACTTATTATTTTTCTTTTTTTGGACCAAGCAAAGCCTAGTGCTCTGTGATCAACCCAACTAAGACCATCTTCAATGGCATCTTTAAAATTTGTGTCTCCAAATTTGTCATGTCACCTTTTTTTAATACTTCTGCGTTTTCAAAAGCCACATCAGCGTTTTGTACTTTCTAAATTTTAGGTATTGCAAGTGTTTCAATTGTGCGTTTTTGCTTTTCAAAAATTAAAATGTTTTAATATTTTTAATAAATTATTATTACTTTTCCCCAACTTCTATAACGGTTATATCATAGAAAAACTATTAAACATTACAATATGTTTATTATGGATTAGAAAAATTGAAAAATACAATACTATATGATTTTTTTTATATATATAAAAAATAAACAATACAATACCATTATCAAAATCAACTAGGAAGAAATAACAATCATATGATACTTTTTTCCTTTTTTAAAGAACAATCAAATGGCACAATCATATACAATATATATATTTTTCTATTTATAAAGTACTCCTTTCTTTTCTTTCTTTTTTTTTTTTTTTACTTTTTTTGCCCAAAAAGGCTTTTAAACAGTGCCTCGGCTCTTTTGTTCAATTATGTTGAGGGAAAAAAAAAGAAAAAATAAAGAAGGAAAAAAAAAAAAACCCAAAAAACAGGTTACTGAAAATGGAATAAAGGTTGGGTTTGAGAGTAAAGAGAAACAAGAGTGGTGAAGGAGGGTAGGGGTCGGCGGTGCGCTTGGGTTTTTAATTGTGTTTTCTTTTCTTATCTTTCCTTTGCTTTGCTTTTTATCTAAATAAAATTGAGTAAGCAGTTTAAAGTAAAAATAGTCAATGCCAATTAAGAGTTATAATTTCTCTTTCTTTAACTATCCTAAGTTTAAATTTATTAATCTAAATTATTAATTATTAAATTACGTATTTATTTTTAAGTTGTAAATAAACATTATTTTAAACTATTGATTTGATTTGAATATTTAATTAAAATGTAATTAATATAAAAAATAAATATAAATTACATATTTATAAATATTTAACATGTGAATTTAAAATTTTAATTAAATATTGATTTTCAAGATAATTAAGTTTTGTAAAATCTTAAAAAATAAATTCATAATTGATTTATAAAATTAATTGAATGTGTTTGGTAAATAAAATTTTAATGTGAGAGGGAGGGGGAGGGGCATTTTCGTCCATTAAAACTTGTTATTTGATAATACTATAAGGGTAATAACGTCTTTTTACTTGGTTATGAGCATTTTGGTCACTATAACCATTTATTTCTGACAAAAAGTATTATATTTTGAAAGAGTGGAGGTGTTTGCAAATTTCGGTAAACCTCAGGGATACGGTGTAAAAAATATTACAAATCTTATGTTTATTTGTAATTATGTCAAATTTTAAGGAGGTTATTGTAGTTCACCTAATATATAATTAGCAGATTTTTTTTTTTTTTTTTTTTAAGGGTAAAGTTTAAAATGTGTAAAAAGCAATCCGGTTTTCTATAAATTGCTTATAAATTCATATATTTTGAAATCTTATAGCAAATTACTCCCATCAATTTTGACCAATATTTTGTTTTTAATAATAATCCTAAAATATACGGAATTTTAGGTGTTTTTTTTAAAATAAAAGATAAAATAATAAAAAAAATTTAAAAATCAAAAAGTAGAATAAATAATAAAAAAAATAATGTTTTGGGGTTTTACAATTTTTTTTAAAAAATGCCCTTATTTTTTTAATATAATTTTATTTATTTTTTTATATATATATTTTTGTGTTAAGGTTATTTTAGAGATTTTAGTCTTCAAATTGGAGAATTATTCTTATTTTTTCAATTTTAAAAATATAGGATTTTTATTTATTTTTATATATTTTTTTTGTAGAATAAGCAGCACATTTTGTATTTTGCAGAATATTTCTACACATTATTAATTACCCATTAGTATTTTTTTTCATTAATTGACCACAAAAAGATTAATTAATACTTAGTATTATTTTTTCTTTCTTTTCTCGTCTCGTATAAGATAGGAAAAGTAAACGATTAGTTTCCACTCTCTTTCCAACACCCAATCATCTTCTGCTACTTTTACTTTATGCAAATGCTTTCCCTTTTAAAACCCATTTATAAAATCATCCAAAGTTCACTTCTTCTATAAGCGTCAACAACCCACAAATTAGTGATCAGATATTTGAAGCTGTTTATGGTCCTGATTTGCCAGTTCAGGTACCATATATCTCTTCCATTCTTCAGTGTTAAAATTTATTTGTTCACGACATTACTTCTTTGAACTTCTTCATCTTCGATCCTCATGTATTATATATTTTGAAATTTTTATTGAGGTAGAGGTAGTGTAATTAGGTTCCGTTTGACATGCGTTTAATTTTTATTATTTTTGTTTTTGGACTGCCACAGTGTTGATTTTGGCAACAAAAGCATGTTTGATGCGACCTTATTTTATTTTATACGCAGTGTCCCAAAACCAAAACACTAAGACGTTATATTTTTTCTTATTTTGACAACTGTTCATGGCATAAAACGATATTTTGCATGTTTCTTGTTTTCGACATTTCCACAACAAAACATTGTTCCCAAAAGTGTTTCCAATTTTTTTTCCAAAACACTCCTACAACAAAAATACTATTTCTATTTTAGTTAGAAACAAAATGCCTAAAACAAAACCAATACTTAAAGGTTTTTTTTTTTTTTTTTCACATGACTGTAAAATATTTTTTTTATTTTTATTTTTTCTGTGTTTGGTAAAAGTGTAAGTCTGATGGACTCCATCGGGCCAAACGTGTAAAAATAATTTATCCAAAATTAATGAAAAGTTATTTTTGTTATATTTTTAAAAAAAAATTTCAAGATATATTACAATAACCAAACACCAATTTATATATTGTGAAAAATATTTTACATCCGGTAGATGGGAAGTGTGGTGTCCAAATTTTTTGGGAAGTATTTTGGTGTAGGAAAAGAGGATATTAATTCTATATATAGACATTTTGCGTCTTCTTTTTCCTGATATTTTTGTCAGGTTACTTTGAAAATTAAGGATCTTATATCGACATAGGTAAGGATATGTTTTGTGTTTATTATATATCGAACTTCTGTATTTGACAAAAGAACACATCTGATTTGTTCCACTAAACACCAATCTATTAGTTTCTATAACATATGGTTCATTCATCATAGAAATTCAATTGCTAGCTACAGTTTAGTCCTCGCTCATATAGAAATTAATATGCAGATTGGTGACCCACCATATAAATAAATTCCAACTTTTTATGAAACATCTAACATATATGCTATATGATGATTGATGCAGAATATTAGCTCAATTTTGCCAATATATATCTGTGGCTGTCTATATGATGACGACTGACGCTTCACAAAGTATTAGCCTGAAGGTGCTGGTTGAGAAAGATAAAATCGAGTTGTTTTTGTTGAGTCCGATAAGGATTTTGTTGATGTTATCTTCAGCTTCTTGACCATGCCTATTGGAAACATTGTCAGACTTGCCCGTGAACACTCAGTGGAAGAAAACTTTGGTTGTTTGAACAACTTATATCAAAGTGTTGAGAATCTTGACGAGGATCATCAACAAAGCGTGAAGTGCAAGGACATGCTGCTTCGCCCTCGAAGTGCAGCTGAAATTTACTGCAAGAACCTTAAGCTGAATTTTGTTGACACAAAAGATATCTATGTCTGCTGTGTTAAGCACACTGATATTTATCCTCCGAGCATCTATACTATTGCAAACTATACCTGTTTTGGTCCTTACTACAATGCTTGTTGCTGTTGTGGATCAACCATGACTACCTTACATAAACTAGGCAACCAACCCTCTGTACCTCGAGGAGGAGGGGTGTTTGTGAAACCTAAAGCAAGGTTTATGATATCTGACGACTTTCAAGTAAAGCCCATCTCCACTATGACGTGTGTAGCCCTTCTTAGTAAGTTTGAAGCTGCAGAAAGAAGCACAAGAGAAGAAAGGATTATAAACATTGGAATGGAGAAGGTAATACACAAGTTTACTAGTTTTACTTTTATTTTATTTTTTTACACAAGTTAACTAGTTTTACTTTTATTTTATTTTTTTTCCAAGAACAAAATGAATAGTCACCATCTCTCTCAGTTTATAAAATTGATCAGTTGTTCATTAACAACAAAGGCACCATTCTCTGAGGTCATCTTGGAATCGGCTATGGACAAAAACAGTTTTGCATTTGCCGCGAAAAATGTGGTCCAAGAAGCACTATTCAACCCGAAAGAGCCATGGATGCAACGGAAAAGGAAACAAAGATTATTTTGAAGCTTATCTTCAACAAATCTAATAACAAGGCATTGTATGTAGAAGCCAAAGAGGATTTTATTAATCTTATTGGCAGTTTCCTCACATATCCACTTGGTTTTATGTTTGAAAAATTGCCTTGTTTGTCCTTGAGGGGATGTTTGGGTAGTCTATACAAAAGCATCCAAGATTTGGATGTCTTGGAATTCTTAAAATCTGAGGAGATGAAGTCAATTTTGGTCAATCCAAAGTTGCCCCGAGGACTTGCTTTGTATAAGCAGCTCATCCCCATCGAGGAAGCTTCATATCCATTTTACTCTACTGCATCTTCCTTTTTCAATTCTCTTCCATTGTAGGTCAGACCCCTCCAATAGAAGCAATAACTGGCAATGGTTTCTTTAGCGGACCTTCAATGTTCATGGTGACAGACGATTTGACCATAACACCTTTATCTCTAATGTCTGTTGTGTGTTTTATTGACAAATTTAATATTTCTCTCGGTGACATTTTAGAGCAAAAAGTGACCATGGGTGAGGTGGAGGTAAATTAACATTAAACTTTGAGTATAATTTTGGCTTACATTCTTTTGACTTGCACTACTATATTATATTATCATGTGGCCTGAAACTGACAATTCATTATATTTGTGAAGACACGAGGAGAACTTTTATTTACGTTGTTGTTCCATAGAACTTAAATTGTTTGGAACAAATGGTTGCCTAACATGGACTATAATTTTGTTTTCAAAAGCTCTTGGTTGATCACTCTGTCAATGCCAGAAGGGATCACATTAGAATTTGTGTTGAGTATGCTTTGGTTATCAGTTTTGCTTTACAGTAGTAGTTACATTTCCTAGTTGCTAATGATCCATTCAGTTGTGGATTTGTTTTTCAGGCTTTGCATCTATTGGAGGCTGCTTTGGTGTCGAAAACTACTCTGAGTGACGTTTTTTTACCTAAAGAATCAAAACGGAAACTCTATGATGATTCAAAAAATTGATGCATGAATGAAGAAGAAACTCTGAAAATTGAGCAACGATTGAAGAGGTGTCAAACTGTTCCTTTTGTGGCATTTATGTCAATTGCTTCTTTTATATTTTAGCTTTCGAATGCGCAATCTACTATAGACTCAAGTATCAATTGTAATCAAGTTGTTTCAGCTGTGTTTTGTTCTCAAAGTTTTTGACTTGTGCCTTGTGGTAGTCATGAGTGTGGTGTAAGCATGGCGTTATTGAGAAAAATTCTGGTTATATATGATGCCTTAATTGCCATATTCCTATTCTCTGCCAGTCTGCCTTCCCTTGAAATCTATATGTTTAATTTTTTTCTGTTTTAATGTTTCTATCCAGAATCATGTTTCAATACCGAGTCTTTTTCTCATTTTCTGCGAGACTACCGGATCTTATTTTTTAATATTCGACTGAGGACCTCACAGGGAGAGATAGAAGAGAGAGATTCTGATTTTTCATACTTCATATTTGTGACTGTTTGGTTCTCAAGAACACTGAAGGAATTTAAGCATGGAAGGAAAAAGACCAATGGGTACTTCTGTAATTTTGAACGTCCTTTTTTTAGCAGACGCTGTTGCATCGTTTGCGCATTTTACAAACTCAGGGGATTAGTTTTTTGAAAAATGGGGGGGTTGGTTTTGGCAACGAAAAGCCCTACCGCCATTACTTCAATTGTTAAAATCTACCATTAATCAATAAATTAATATTAAAATGTGTGCGTTTGGCCTAAACTCAATGTATGGTTAATTTCGTCCAAATGGACACATTCATTCGGAATGTGTTGTTCTACCAACTAAATCATTGAGTAACGTACCTGTTTGGCTCACAAAGTGGTCTGAGGTCGCTAGCCAATGAATGGCTGACCTAGAACGCGGGCGTGCTAGAGTCCTGATGGACTCGAATATTTCTTGCCAAACTATTCCTATTGGGTCGGGTCACCGACCTAAGGTGATTCAGGCGAAAGTTGGAGAGTAAGAATGACCATCTCCTTAAGGTTGCTATTGCCTTTAAGAAAGGACTTTAAACATTTAAGATGAATATCAATTAGAAGCAACTTAAACTGAACAATAAATATACCTGAATTTGCAAACCTTTCTTCATTGAACTTGACTGATTACAATGATGAATGAATTACAAACTCTTGATTGAAATGGAAACTAAAGTATTGAATGCTGAAAGATGAACTGAGAATTAAACTGATAGTGCCAAACTAAACTTGCTGAAATAAAAGCTAAGTGTTAAACTAAACTTGATGAAATAAAAGCTAAGTGCTAAGTGATATGAATGCTAAAGGTTGAACTTTAGAAATGGTCTTGGACCTCTTCCTTGTGAGGTTTGAGTGGGTATTTATAGAGGCTTCTACCTGGTGTTGTCCCTTTCAACCGTTTCTCTAGAAATTGATTGGTTGTAAGCTGAAAGTGACTTTTCCTAACCACCTTGCTGATCTGGTCAGGTTGACTGACTTGCACATCCCTCTATAGGCAGATACAAGTATGTCTGACATAGTATTTTTGACTAAGTGGTGCCTTTTCTTTCATGCTTGATGATTTTGGTCTTCAAGCCATTTTCAGCTCTCTGCACCTGTCATGTCTGGCTTGATTTGTACATTAGCCTGGAGTCATATGATTACTGACAAATCTGACTTTCTTCATCAGATATAAGTGAGAACCTTCCATCTGGGGTTCTGAATCTCTGGACCTCTAACACGGTCAAGTTGTCCTTTTCTATTTCAAGCTCTTTTCACGTTTCTAGACCTGACTTGTTGGGTTCTTAAATCATTGGGATTCACAGCCGATCTTCATTTGAATTACCCCAAAGATTCTTCAAGTGATTATGACCCGAGACCCCTGATCATGACCATATTTGGTTACGAGTCTTGATCATGGCCATAGTGACTAAAAATCTTGGTTAAGATTCAGAATCATGACCATTATGACCGAGAGTCTTATGATCATTGTGACCGAGAGAAATAACGGTCAAGACTCTTGATCATTGCTGGTTATGAGTCTTTGGAGAGATTTTGGATCGTGACCATTATGACTGAGAGTCTCATGACCATGACCGTTGTGACTGAGAAAGTTGTGACTGAGAGTATTTTGGCCTAAACTCATGACCATGAGACTGAGACTCTCATAACCATAGTGACTGATAGGATTTTGACTGAAAACTCACGATCATGACCATTGAGACTAAAAGTCATAACCATAGTGACTGAGAAGGTTTTGGCCTAAGACTCATGATCATGAAGACTGAGAGGATTTTCGCCTAAGACTCATGATCATAGTGACTGAGACTCTCATGACCATAGTGACTGAGAAGATTTTGGCCTAAGACTCATGATCATAGTGACTGAGACTCTCATGACCATAGTGACTGAGAAGATTTTGGCCTAAGACTCATGATCATGAAGACTGAGAGGATTTTCGCCTAAGACTTATGATCATAGTGACTGAGACTCTCATAACCATAGTGACTGAGAAGATTTTAGCCCAAAACTCATGATCATAACCATTGAGACTAAGAGTCCCAATTGTGACCAGTTATGAGCTCAAAACCTCATCTCAGCTTTAATGGCCTAAAAATTCCACTCTTCTTCCTTCTCAACCTTAAATCGAATCACTATGATTAGAAATTAATCTTTCGCTCTGATGATCGGACCTTGTAATTTCTGACCACGTGGCATGATTGTAATACCCCTAATTTTAAAAGGATAGTCTCGATATTTATTTATTTGTTTTAATTGTAAATTAAATATTTTCTTTTCTTTTATTATTTTATTTTATTTTTCTTTTATGGTTATGGTTAGTAGTAATGGGCCAACCAATTGGGTCCCATGGACTACTTGGATAGGAGGTTGGATGTGTATGGATTATTACCCATGGATAATGTATGTATATATATAGATATATATTATATAAATATATAAAAAGGAAAGTAGTTTATTAATTATTTTTATGGTAACTTGGGTAGTAATATTTAATCTGATGTATATGTTTTATATTTAAATAATAAAAATATACATAGATCTGATACGTGTTATGTTTTAAGTTACTTTATAATATTATGGTAACTTAAGTATTATTGGATAATCCATTAATAAATAAGGGAATGTGTATAATTTATTTATTTAATAAACATATACGTAAATTATATACGTAACATATTTTACTTACCTTTTTAATATATATATAAAAGAGAAAGTAATTTATTAATTACTTTTATGGTAATTTGGGTAGTAATATTTAATCTGATGTATATGTTTATTTAAATAATAAAAATATACATAGATTTGATACGTGTTATGTTTTAAGTTACTTTATAATATTATGGTAACTTAAATATTATTGAATAATCCATTAATAAATAATAGAATGTGTATAATTTATTTATTTAATAAACATATACATAAATTATATACGTAACATATTTTGCTTACCTTTTTAATATTTTTATTTTCATTTTTTTTTTAGTTGACTTGGATTGGGAAAAGGGTTAGGGTTATTTTATTTAGCCTATAAATATATAGCTATAGGTTGAAAAAAGGGGTTAGAAATATTCACGTGATATATACTTGAGAGATAATGTTAGAGAGAGAAGGAGGAAAAGGAAGGAATGAGAAGAAAAACCCTATAGAGAGAAGATCAAGGAAGAAAAAGTTTAATTTTCGATCCGAAAGTTTAAGGCAAGTTCTTCTTCTATCTCTTTCCCTTTGATTCATGTTTCTGTACATGCCTAGGAAATTTCAGAATTTATTAAACACATAAAATTAAATAATTATGCATGTTTAATTGGATTAGAACATAGGTTTTATGAAATTGGTTCATATCTGTTCTTGTGTTATGAATTAATAAAATGCATGATTTTGATTTGATTTCTTATGTGAATTTTTACATGTTTAAATTATGTATTTTTCATATCCGTGGAATGATGGAATGTAGAAACATGTCTAAGATTCCTGAACATTAAATAGGGACTAGGTTTGGGTTTTAATAAATTTAAATAGACTCAATCATAATGATGCTTGCTATTTGAATGTTTTAAACAAACGAATGGATTTAATCTTTTAAAATATTTTAGCAATTGAGATTAAATGTGTAGGATGAATTGGATATGGAGAATCCTTATTTAATGGTATAATAGAATATCATCATGTATAAGATTAAGTTTGTGTAGGACATATGATATAGGAAGTTTAAAGAAATAATAAGTCATTCCTATTATGTGATAACTTGATATCATATTTATCATAGTTATTTATGGAATGTTTGATGTATTTCCTTAATTGTTACATCAATTGTTGGATTGTGTGATTTAATGCACCGGTATGGGACGGTGGTATTCTAGGGATGGATTAACTTATCAGTTAAGTCCTACCTATTTTATATAAGGGAATGGATTAACTAAAATGTTAAGTTCTACTTATATTTAAGTCAGGTCAGCTGAACAAGTTGAATGACTTATGGAGGATTAATTTATAATATAAGGGAATGGATTAACTAAAATGTTAAGTCCTACTTATATTCAAGTCAGGTCAGCTGAACAAGTTGAATGACTGATGGATGATTAATTTATACTGGATAGGATGGTTACTAGATTATATATATATAAGTATGGTGCCATGATATGAGCTTGAGTCTCAGGATCAATGGTTAGGGCGCGTATATCGCTAGGGATGTGTAGCTAGATATAGTGTAGTTGTGTACCCTGGTAGGTCTAGGTACTCATGCCCACTATATGTGCGTTTTGCATGTTGCCTACTATTCAGGTTGAGACAACCATATAGTCTAGTGAGGTTCCTTTAGTGTGTATATATATATATACGGACTACTAGTTACTGTTGGATTGACAAGGATGTATACGTGTATCGGATCTCTGCTTGGACTGTAGTAGGTAGAACTTGTTTGTGGGCCTGACCCACCATTATTTTTTAGGTGTTCGTCACGAGTAGAGGTTGTTCGTGTTGAGCGGAGATCAGTTTACTTCATTCTTTCGATACTACATAGGAGTTCCTTTATGATTCAGTTTCCTGTTTTAGATTGCTGTCATTTGTTTAGTTTGGATTTTCTAGGGGTCCACACAGTATGGATTCCCGAGTTGTATTTTGGAGGATCAGTTGTATCAAAAGAGTTTATTAATTAATGGAAATATATTATGAGGTTTATTATTAGATTATCATTTTAGTTTCTTGTCAGCATTTTATTTATTCTTCTTTATTCTTTTGTACTCTGTGTTCGTTTATTATCAATTTGTTTTGATATCTTCGGGTATTCGGGCGTGGGCCTGGCCAACCCGCATTCGAAAATTCGGGAGTATCACAATGATTGCCTCGAATTATATTTTATGTGTTAACAACTACCCCCCAACTCTATGAAAATGGGTTCATACCGAATTTTTGTAGAGTTGTATTTATTTAGGCCAGTTTTTGTGTTCGGCCTCGGACCAATCAAGGCTAATTTTGCCTTTAATGTATGGATAACTAAAACCATTCATTAATCGAAAGAGAAATCTGTATCATTTCTTTACAATGCCATTTGTTCATAGGCCATATTGAAGCTTCCAACCAATTAATGTTTCATTTACACACCAAAACAGAAACACAATAGCAGCTATAGAACATTTCCAGAGAGAGAAGTTGGAGAAACCCATTTAACGCGAGAGAAAGAGAGAGAGACCATGCAGCAGCTTGATGTCTCAGTCTTAAAGTAAGAACAACACCAAACAGAAACGACGTGGAACCCATAGATGCACACACACACACACATATACATATATCTTTGAAATACCACTAAAGAGGGAATGCAGTGAAATTCAAATAGCTTTCTCAAAATAATGGTTGAAAAAGATGTTACCATTGTCATGCTTGTTTGGCTACAAATAAAATTAATAGCTCTTGTCCTCAACATTTTAGGCCCACGAGACTCGGACAAGTGTGGGTCATACTCGTCACCAAAAGCGTAAGCTTCCATTGCCATTGCAAGCATCAGCCGTCATCCTCTTCTGTGGCGTTACCGTCAAAGATGGTGTTCATGCCGTCATCCGTCGTCATACCCAACGGTTTTGGGTCCCGTCTGACAGAACCCCACCGTTGCCTTCATCGTTAGAAACTCACAACCTACAACGATCAAGTATCTACTAGAATTCAACCTAGTCTTTTCGGCGAGAAGCTCAAGCAACTCTTGGGGCTGAAACGCTACTATTCGGGCGTCTTCTACTAGGCCGGAAACAATGAAGGTGGCTGGGTCTGGTTGAGCTAAGCTATTGCAGGAAAATTTGATCGCTGTAGTATCTTCACCGGATTGAAATACTCAGCTCTTAAATAGAGGGAAGCTCACCGGAGGCTGTGGATGATGTAAGGTTGTGGGCAGAGCTATTTAAGCCATTCCATTGATATATTTTAGTACATCCTTTTAATAAAGTGCTGGGGCATCGTGATAACTTTGTGGCATAACTGGGGCAGGTGCCCATCCTTTCTCGATCACTACCTAAATCTAACACAGCAATAATGTTTGTTTGATAATTTAATATATCGTTTAATGCTGAACGGATTAAAAGTTTATCTAAAAAAATATTTAAGTATATATAAAAAAGTTACTATTTAAAATGAAACATATAATTATCAATTATGATTGATTATATTAATTATGATTTAATGTTGAACGCTGAAAATTCGAAAAAATATTAAAATAAAATATTTATTTTTAATAACTAATTAAAAACTTTTTTTTAATAACTACTTAAAAACTTTAACTTAAAATTCAATTCTTAAAACTTTCAGCACTTACTATTTAATTTTATCTTAAAACTTTCAGTACTTAATATTTAATTTTATCAAACAACACCAAAATACATGTGTATCGATTACCACAAAGAAGAAAAAAATTAATAAATCAGAGTTGAGCAAACTTGTCAAAATTATTACTACATAATTCAAATATTGAGGATAATATAATTGGACTTCAAAAATTGAAAAAATTAAAACACAACACAAAATTAAAATAGAGAAAGAATGAAATACTTTTGGAAATAGAAGTAAGGGTGTGTGTAAAATGAGAGAAAAGAAAATAAAAAATGAAACCAAACTAAAGAAAAGAAACTTGATCTTGTATTTATTATGAAATTATGTTAGGAAATGAAAGGAAATGGAGGTGTTAGTAAAATTATGAAAGGAAATAAAATAAAATGGAAGAAAAATGAAGTGTTCACTAATCTGAAATGAAGGACTATATCATGTTTACTGAAATGTTCATAATCTTGATTTTACAAGCAAAAACAAAATATAATTTAATCCTTTTAAATATAAAAGGTTATAATGATAAATTCAATAAAATTGTTTCTTTCCCTTTACTCGTAAATTAGCATGATTAAGTATTATCACTATTTTTTTTGGTCATTAATTAATGAACCATAAAAATACTAATACTGTCCTTTTAATTTTGTTTTCTCTCATAATAATAATAATAATAATAATAATAATTAATTAATACCAACATGCTTGTGGTCTAGGGGTATTAGACTCTTACTTTTCAAAAGAAGATTAGGAGTTCGTGGAGGCGGTATGTGTGAGTCCCAACTAAAAAATAATAATAATAATTAATTTTCTATTTCTTCTCATATATTTAGTACCAAACATGCTCCACATATTCACAAAAAAAAAAAAAAAAAAAAATGCCCCATATAGAGATAGAGACTCGGGAAAAGTACTCGACTTTATTGTTTCCACTTTCCCACTAACATCAATCATCTTTTGCTACTTTTTCTTTATGAACTGTATGCTTTAATCCCCATTTTTTAATCATTCATAGTTCCACCTCTTTTCTTACTAATAAGCATTAACAACCCACAAATTAATATTCAGATATTTGAGGCTGTGTTCGTGTTTTGCTCAGTTCAGGTACCATCGATCTCTTACATTCTTGAGTATTTGAATTTTTTGTTTACCCTGTTACTTATTACTTTGATCTTCTTCATCTTCTTGCATTATATATTTAGGGTAGTGCAGTTACTATTTTTTTAGTTTTGAGGACAATGTGATCCAAATTCAGGGTGCTAAAATTGTTTTAGTTTCTATGTAATTTGAGTCTAAAATCGTTGTGATCAGTCAAATATAACCCCATGACTGAGGTGCATACTCTGTAATCAGTTATGAGTAGAAGTTCAAAAACATGTTTAGAGTTCAGTACTGAAGGTTTGATTATTCAGAACAGGTATAATTCTAAGCCTTTCATGCTTTTAACAGTTACTTGATCGAGTTAATGCTATGGTTTGGTAGCATCGAATCGGCACCTTGGAATTGGAACGGACATAATTTAGTTCCAAGTTTCAACTAATTTTTCTTCAATCCTAATTCCAAGATGTTGATTCCGTACTCCCAACCACAACATAGGCATACAATGACATTCCAGGGATTATTTTTCAACTAGTGATCGTCAAAACCTCATAGTAAATTTTCTGCTTGCAGTTCTTTGTTTTTACTTTATTTATTTTTTTGGTTTTTTTCAATCCATGTTTTCCTCATACCTGATAGGCCTTAATTTACCATATTTCTTTCCAATTTTGGGTGTCTTTTTTTTCCTTTTTCTTTTCTTTTTTGTCTTAAAATAAATATATCCTCCACTCCTAGTTGGCCCTCTTTTAGTTTTCCGATCATGTTATACACACTACAACAATTGTGTCAAATCGAAGATGAAACAAAATTGCTATGTTTGGCGGCATCACCTTAGATTTGGAATGGGAGAAAATTTAGTACAAGTTTGAACTAAACTTTCTCCAATCATAAATCCTAGACACCAATTCGGTGCTCCCAAACTTAACGAAGTTAATAGATGGTGCAGGATGACAATTAGTCTTGGGAGTGTATTTGTATTCTGAAAGTGTCAAATGCTCACACTTACAAAATTTTGCATAAAAACTTCACCATATTTATAAGATAAGGTTATGTGGTATGAATTTCCATTCCATTATATTTAATTATATATAGTGAGCAGAAATGTTATAGAGGTTTTTCCTAAAGACAAGGCGGGGAAAGTGGGACATATAGTTGCGAAATCTCTATAATGTATTAGTTCCAATTGACATCACAAAATTTTATGTCCTCCATTTTCTTACCGGGAAGGGTAAGGTTGGGGAATCATAAGAATTTCACATAACATATTCTTTCTTTCGAAGAAACATTTTGGCCTTGATTCTTTGACCTTCTAGTTGGATGTCCTACCTTGTTATTTACTTGAGCTCCGAGTCAGATGATGCTTTAGATTTTGTTTTCTAAAGTGGTGAATGTAGCTATAAACTATCATGTGTTAAATAATGCAGACTGCATTTGCTTACTTAGTTGCCAATTCTTTCCTCTTCTTTTCCTTCCCCCCTCTTTCAAAGCAATGGCAGATGAAGCTTCACAAAGTCTAAGTCTGAATATCCTGGTGGATGAAGAGACGAATCGAGTTGTTTTTGCCGAGTCCAATAATGATTTCGTTGATGTTCTCTTCAGCCTCATGACTATGCCTATTGGAACCATTATTAGACTCTCACGTGAACAAGCATCAAAATGGGAGATTGGTTGCCTGAACAACTTATATGAAAGTATTGAGAATTTTGACGATAAACATCTCCAAACTGTGGAGTGCAAGGACATGCTGCTTCATCCTCGGAGTGCTGCTGAAATTTACTGCAGAAACCTTAAACTAAATTCTGTTCATAGTACTACTAATGAGTACTATGCATGTGGATATGAGACAACACAATGCACTTTGTTTCTTTACCGAACTGCTCATTGCCGTTGTGGAAGGCCCATAAAATATATGGTGAAACTGAATCGTAAATCTGTTCCTCCAGTTGGAGGGGTTTTTGTGAAACCCACTTCACGCGTCATGATAACTGATGACTTTCAATTACTGCCCGTGTCCACTATGACTTGCTTAACCTTGCTTAAAGAGCTTGGAGCTGTGGATGGAAGCACAATAAAAGAGAGGTGTATAAACATAGGCAAGGATGAGGTAATTAACAAGTTGATGGATTTTTTTTTTTAGTCTACATTTAAAATAACAAAATGGATGGTCTTTCTCTCAGGTTCTGAAGTTGTTCAAGGCTTCATTAACATCTACGGCACCTTTTTCTGAGACTTTCTTGGAATCACAAGACAAAAAAACCAGTTTTGCAATCCATCATGGAGAATTGAGTCCAAGAAGCACAATTGAATCTCAAAGGACCATGGACACAACAAGATCAAAAGCAGTAAAGATAGCTTTCAAGCTTATTATCAACAAATGTAACAACAGGGCATTGTATGTTGAAGCTAGGGAAGATTTTGTTAATCTTATCAACGGTTTTCTCACCTTTCCACTTGGTTATGTATTTAAAGAATTTCCATGTTTGTCACTGAGGGGATGCTTGGCTAACTTATACAAGAGCATCTTGGCACTTGATGTTGACGAATTCTTGAAATCTGAGGAGATGAAGGCAACTTTAGTCAATCCAAAGCTGCCCCATGGACTAGCTTACAATAAGCTGCTCATCCCCATTGAGGAAGCTTTATATCCGTCGTTGTCAACTGTTTCTTCCCTGTTTGGAGTAAGTTATTTTAATTTAACGGAAGCTACAACTGGCGAGAGATTCATGAAAGGACCGTCAAAGTACATGGTGACAGACAATTTGACCATAACACCTTTATCTCCACTGTCAATCTTATCTCTTATTAACAAATTGAATATTCCCTTCAGTGACATTGTAGAACAAGAAGTAACTATTGGTGAGAAGGAGGTAAATAAAATCCTCTGGACCTATTGTTTTTTTATATTGGTCTTGGGTTCAATACTTTCTTCTAGCTATCTGATGTCTATTTCTTAATTGTTGTTCTAATAATTCCTTGCCGACAATTTTTGTATATATATATATATATTTCTTTTGCAGGCTTTGCGTCTACTAGAGGCTGCTTTGGTATCAAGATCTGCTCTGACTGATGCTTTCATACTAAAGGAGCCAAAACAAGAACCACAAGGTAATATCAGTCATCTTGATGCATGAACGGAAAGGAAACTCTAAGGGCTCGTTTACTAACGCTTTCACTTTCTTATTTTTGCTTTCTCCCAAAGTAAAATCATATTTTTCATTTCTGAAGCTGAAATATAAAGTAAAATTATGTTTACTAATTTTTTATGCTTTCAATATTTTCAAAGTAAGAAATTAAAATGCAAGTTTAATAATTATAATTTTGATTTTGTTTTCTATATTGAAAATCAATGTCATATACTCTATATATATATATATATATATATATATATATATATAAGTAAGAGGCAGAGCTCTTCCATTCATTGAATTGGTTGAATCGCACTACCAAATCTTTGAATTGAGCTTAATTAGAATTCATTTTTGTTAAAACACCTACCTCCCTCCTTCCTGTTCCTCCTTTTTCCGGGGCAGCGAGAGTCAGGTTGGGGGAGTTGTGAGGAGGAAGATGAGATGGGTTAAGACAATTGCAAAGATGTGAGACCTTTTCATTTCCATTTGAAATCTGCTACTTTTAGTGTATACATATATCTATATATCATCACTATGATGTTTTTTGTGGCATTTCAATTACCAATCATGAAGAATCCGACAAATGATCCTAATTTGGTTGATCAGAATCTGAAAAACTAAGCTCCGGCACCAGATCGGTAGCGGTAGAGCTTGCCGGAGATGTGGAGGGCGGTGACGAAGCCAATGAAGCAGAGGCTCATGTCGAGGACGACGATGGGCGAGATCTTGAGTCTAGTGCCATGCCGACGGGACTGGACCCGTTGTTCGATGAGGATGATGATTGGGATTGAGATGAGCCTATCACCATTGTTGCAGTGCGAAGAATTCGAGAAGCGAAGAGGAAGAATGAGATGTTTTTTTTTTTTTTAAATTTATAAATAATGCTACAGTACAGAAAGTAATTTCTATGAACAATTTAGAAAATAGAGAAAGTGAGGATTTCTCACTTTCTATTCCCTTCACACAATTAGAAAGTACTTTCTTGAAACAAAAAAAGTCAAAGTATTTTATTAAACATGATTTTTATTTTTAATTCTCAATTTTAAGAATTGACAGTAAAAATCAAGAATCATTCCTGTTAGTAAACAGGCCTTAAGAGGAATGCTGTTATAAATTGGCATGGTTTCTCAGTTTCCGTTGTTCCATCATGTGGGGTGCTGAGTTGGATATTCATTTTCCAAATGTTTTTATTTTTATTATTTATTTTTTTATTGTAAAGAAGGTTTCGTAATTTGAATGTCTGGTTGAAGGTTATGATATATCATTTTTTCTTGCTTTGATTAAATTTGAAAAACCCCATTTCATTAACAGAAATCATTTTATTATATAAGACAATTATATTTAAATAAACTTAATCTTGAGCTTGCTGGCAGTTTATTTTCTCTCGGTTATTTTCAGTTGAGAAGTATTTTAAAAAAAATTTATTACCGGGGTCATAAGATTTTGTTAGAAGATATTTGATTTTATCTGGGTGTCTCAAAAGCCCTATATTTAGTGATTTTCTTGGGAGAGTATGAAATGTCTAGATTATATAGTTCAAAATAAGAGACCGCATCAATCAATTTTCGTTATTTGGTTGGGTAGGTAATCACCGTAATCTTACAACAGATAAAACTTCACATTCATTTTTTTTTTTTTTTTTGTGAGTTCTCATTGTCTTTTCTTACGTTCAAATCAAGGGGGTTACTTTTGCTTTATGTTAGTTTTTGGAATTCCGAAGCTTCCCAGCATGACACTGAACTTGTTCTGAATTTATTTCTGTTTGTTAATTAAAATGTTGTCATTCCATCTACAATACACTTTTCGTGCTAGTAGCTTCTGAGCTTTGATCTAATTTTGTTTTCTTCTTAAACTTGAGGATTTATGTTACACTTTGGACTCGTGAGCTGTGAATTAAGCTACCAACTTGTGACACAAGTCACATAACTTTCTCTGGGCTTATATCTGTTTAATGATTAGTATGTTGTTGTCGCACCTGTATGTTTTGGTCTAATTTTGTGTGTTTCTACGTAACTGTTTCTTGCAGCCTGACTCCAACAGTTTCCAAAGATGGATGGTCCGTGGCAAGTGAAATTCGCACAAACATTAGTTCTTAGATGCCTCGGAGCTTGAAATCCAAGGTCTCTTGATGGTGGTAGTTTTTGGTTATGAGTTCACATGGACTTGGTATATTTATATGTGGTTATTAGCTCTTGTAAGACTGTTGTTTGAGCTTGACTACCAAGATATTATGCTGATGGTAGTTGATGACATAGACTCTGATTTTGAATTGTTAATTAATTATGTAGTATTTGGTTAGCTTTGGTTCTTTTGGTGACTGGATTATGTTCATCACGTGGATTACTTTGGTGGATGTTGTGTTGAAACTTGAGAGGCTGGAAGAATAATATACCAGGCTAGTAATGCTTGGTCCTGCCTCATCAGGACAAGAGTTGTCCTCCAAGCTGACTTAGCCCAATAAGGATTTGTCACACCTCCATTCCATTAAAAAATATAAAAAATAGGGTTATGCCCATTTAACTGATCCGTTTTAGTTTCTCTCTCCTTGTTTCTCTCTCATCTCATGTGCGAACCCTTTTGTTTCTCTCTCCTTGTTTCTTTCTCCTCCTTGTTTGCTCAGAAAAGTAAAGCAATGGAGATGATAAAAAGATTGTTTTCTTTGAAGCCTAACGAAATCAAGAAACTGGTTTGGGATGCTTTTTTTTCTGCACCACTGAAGTTCCCCTCGCCGGTTAGATTGTCCTCATCAACGTCACGATCGTGACCATTTTCTTCACCTCTAACCAAGCAAACCAGAGACAACAACCACAAATCCAAGAAACAAAGATCCAATACGTTCCAGAATAAATCATTGATGAAATTGGGGACAATAGATGAAATTTACATTCAGCTCACGGATGAGCATCACGTTATCAGGATGATAAATGACACCAAGCCGGCGTTGGGTGAGGTTCCGACAAAGCTGCCGGAGAAGATGAGGAAGTTGGAGAGTCTAAAGTCGGCTTTTGGGTATTTTGAAGAAGAGGACATTGTTGAGGCTCGTCGGCCGGCGAAGCTTATCGGGATAGACAATCGGAAAGTATACAAACCGGCGGTGACAGTGAGTGATTGAAGATTCCGGCAGTGTGTGTCAGATTCCGGCAATTGGGTAAATCACGTTCCTCTCCGTCGAGCAATTGGGTAAACCGGCGGTATGTGTCAATGAGTAAATCACGTTCCTCTCCGCCGGGCTTCAGGAATTGTAGAACGCCGTTCTGCCTTTCAACATGTTCTAGTTATTCCGGCAAGTTTGAGGGTGTAGTGGAGAGATTTCATCGCCGGGACGAGGTGGGCGATGAGGTTCTTGTCTGCGGTGGCCATGATTTCGTTGCCGACGAGTTGATTTTGGTTTTGGGGTAGAAAAGAGAGATCGCGGTGGAGAGGACAGCAAAGAGCCGGGGAGAACAGATCCGGCGGCGACGATCCGACGGAGACAAGAAGGATGACAGATAGATGATAGCAGAGAGCCGGCGAGACAGATCCGGCGGGACGGATCTGGCAGTTGAAGATGGCGGCTGTGAGACAAATCCGGTAACGACAAGACTGATGGATGGTTCGGTAGATCCGGCAAAATTAGCATTTCTCGATGGGAGATTGATCTGTGATAAAGAAAAAGAAACATACACACATGGGAGGAGAGAAAAACAAGGAGAGAGAAACAAAACAGGTTAGTTAAATAGGTATAACTAATGTTTTATATTTTTTAATGGACTGGAGACGTGGCAAACCTTTATTGGCTAAGTCAGCTTGGAGGACAATTCTTGTCCGATAAGGCAGGAGCCAAGCATTACTTAGTTTTTAATGCTAGGTGTCACGGACTTGAACCTTTTCAAGCTACCGTGCGGCCTTAGACACTTTCAAGCCCCCTTGAAATGCTAAGTCAGCCTACCCGAGTGTGCTAGCTTAGTAAAGACTAAGGCTAGACAAGTATTTTGCTTACTTGGGTGTGTATGAAGAGGTTAGGCAAGTAAGCAAGAGAGTTTGGAAATGTATAGAACTTGTATTGCTTGAGAGGAGAGATTACAACTTGGTTGCTTGGTGAGGAGCAAATGAACTCCCACCTCCTATTTATAGGCCTTTGGCCTTACAAGAACATTCTAGATGTGTACAAATGTGTGGCCTAGATTTAGTGTCTAGAATCCTCCAGAAAAATCTACATAATTCTAGAACTATCTACTATGTACAAGACAAGTCTAGAGAATTTTATACAACTCTAGACAAGTCTAGAAAAGGCTAGACAACTCCACACTAATCTAGAGAATTCTGGAAAGTTCCATACTTGTGTAGAGAAGTCTAGAAAGCTCCAGTCCATGCAGGCTCCATGTTATCGTATGCTGGGCGTCTGCGTAGCGCCTGCGTGGTATAGCTTCTTGGTTGCGGGGTGTGACATTCTCCCCCACCTAAGCTCGCAACGCCCTCGTCACGTCTTCTTGCTTGAACCGCTGGATATGTTCCGCGAACTGCCATAGTGTATCCTCATGCTCCCAGCTCGCCTCGCTATCTGGCAGGTTCTTCCACTTCACTAAATACTCTGTATATTTGGGCACGCCTCTCCTACTCATCACACGATCTGCAAGGATGCAATCAACTTCCTTGTCAAAGGATGTGATAACGGTCGTGGGTGCCCTATGCGATATGCCCCGAGTAAGGTCTTCCGTGTCTTCATGATAAGGCTTGAGCATGCTGACATGGAAGACTGGATGTATTTTCAACTTAGGTGGAAGCTCCACCATGTAGGAGACCTTGCCCACCCGCTTGACGATGGGGAACGGGCCCTCGTACCTCCTTACTAGCCCCTTATGCACGCTCCGAAATGACTTAAACTGTTGGGGTAGTAGCTTAACCATCACCTGGTCTCCCACTATGTACTCCACCCGCCTTCGCTTGGTGTCGGCCCACTTCTTCATTTTCTTTGCCGCCTTGTCAAGGTACGCCCTAGCCAAGTCGGACTGCTCATGCCACCTCTTGGCAAATTTGCAGGCCACCGGACTCTTACCATCGCAAGTCGAAGCAATGGCGTTGGGTGTCATAGGCTGCCGTCCAGTAACAACCTCAAATGGACTGTGATTGATAGCCTCACTTCGTTGCAAGTTGTAAAAAAACTGTGCCACCCCAAGGAGTTTGGCCCAATCTCGCTGATTAGCACTCACATAGTGCCTCAAATAAAGCTCCAGGAGAGCGTTGATACGCTCCGTCTGCCCATCTGATTGGGGGTGGAAACTCGTAGAGAAGTTGAGATCTGTCCCTATCTTCTTGAAGAATCCCGTCCAAAATCTACCCGTGAAACGCGGGTCTCTATCACTGACAATATTCTGCGGAACTCCCCAAAGCTTGACCACATGGTCAATAAACAACTCTACTGCCCTCTCTGCTGTGCAGTCTGCTGGTGCGGGTATGAAGGTGGCATACTTGCTGAACCGATCTACCACCACTATAATGCTCCCATAACCTTCTGACTTGGGCAAGCAAGTAATGAAATACATAGAGACACTCTCCCATGGTCTCTCTGGAATAGGCAATGGCTCAAATAGGCCTGCAGGATGCTGTTGCTCAATCTTGTCTTGTTGGCATACAAGATAAGTCCTCACATATGTCGCCACATCATCACGCATCCGAGGCCAATAATAAGAATCTTCTAGGAGTGCTAGTGTGCGCCGCATACCTGGGTGACCAGCCCATTTGGTGTCGTGGCACTCCCGTATTAGCTCCTTCCACAAGTTGCCCCACCTGGGCACAAAGAGTCGGTCCCCTGTAGTGAGAAGTAAATCATCCCTTAGCTAAAAGCGTCGAGTCTTCCCTTCCTTAGCCAGCTGAATAAGGCTTTTGGCTAAAGGGTTATGCTGTAACCCCTCTTTGATCCGCTCCACAAGAGAGTGTTGGGGTCGACTGATAGCTGCGAGCTCGGCCTTGCGACTAAGCACATCTGCCACAACATTGGCCTTGCCTGGCTTGTATTCAAAATGATAAGTGAACTCTGCTAGGAAGTCCTGCCATCGAGCTTGCTTGGGGCTAAGCTTCTTCTGTGTCTGGAAGTTGATCACAAATTGCGCCCCGAGCAAGTAGTGCCTCCAAGTACGCAGGCAATGGATGACCGCCGTCATTTCTTTCTCCTGCACCGTATAGCGCTGCTCGGTGTCATTAAGCTTGCGGCTCTCATAAGCTATGGGGTGTTCTTCCTGCATTAACACGCCCCCAATAGCGAAGTCTGATGCATCTGTGTGCACCTCATATGGTTTGGAGTGGTCAGGCAAGCTAAGTACCGGCTCCTCTGTAACTGCCCTCTTCAAGTCATCAAATGCCCCCTGGCATGACTCTGTCCAACTCCAAGCACGCGCCTTCTTGAGAAGGTCTGTCAATGGGGCTGCTCTCGCCTAGTAACCCTTGATAAAGCGGCGGTAGTAGTTGACAAGCCCAAGAAATGAGCGTAACTCTGTCACCTTAGTGGGCGGCTCCCACTCTTGAATGGCCCTCACCTTTGCCTCATCCATCATCAACTTGCCATCCCGTATCTTATGCCCTAGGAACAACACCTCCTCTTGGGCAAATGAGCATTTCTCCGTCTTCACATATAGGTCGTTCTCCCATAGGACTTGGAAGACCGCCCTTAAGTGCTGCACGTGCTCCTCTAGAGTGGTGTTATACACAACAATATCATCCAAGTACACCACCACAAAGCGATCCAAGTAGGGATGGAAAAGCTTGTTCATCAAAGTACAGAAAGTAGCAGGTGCATTGGTGAGGCCAAACGACATAACAAGAAACTCATAAGAGCCATACCTCGTCACACACGTAGTCTTAGGTTCATCCCCGTCCGCTATCCGCACCTGGTAGTACCCCGAGCGCAAGTCAAGTTTAGTGAAGTAACGTGCTCCACCAAGTTGATCAAAGAGATCGGCAATGAGAGGAATGGGGTACTTGTTTTTGATAGTCACCTTGTTGAGCGCCCGGTAGTCGATGCACAT